TGCCATTTAGCTTACTCAGCAATTTTTCTTCTATAATGTGTCGCGTCCCTTCAGTTGTCTCCCCTTGCTGCCTTCTCCTATTTCTCTTGCCCTCAGTATGCCCTATGGTGGTTCTGTTTTCCAAGCCTGTTTCTGAGTATGTGTTCTTTTTGTAGCCACTTTCTTTGATACTTCCTCGCTGCTTACTCGCTCCGTCCATGGAATTCTTAGTACCCTTCGGTAGAACTACATTTCTGTTTCCTTCAGTTTTGTCTTCATCCATGGATAAATTGTCCAACATTCACTGTCATATAAATTGTCCAACATTCACTGTCATATAAATTGTCCAACATTCACTGTCATATAAATTGTCCAACATTCGCTGTCATATAAATTGTCCAACATTCACTGTCATATAAATTGTCCAACATTCGCTGTCATATAAATTGTCCAACATTCACTGTCATATAAATTGTCCAACATTCACTGTCATATAAATTGTCCAACATTCGCTGTCATATAAATTGTCCAACATTCACTGTCATATAAATTGTCCAACATTCACTGTCATATAAATTGTCCAACATTCACTGTCATATAAATTGTCCAACATTCGCTGTCATATAAATTGTCCAACATTCGCTGTCATATAAATTGTCCAACATTCACTGTCATATAAATTGTCCAACATTCATATATAAATTGTCCAACATTCACTGTCATTAAATTGTCCAACATTCGCTGTCATATAAATTGTCCAACATTCATATAAATTGTCCAACATTCACTGTCATATAAATTGTCCAACATTCACTGTCATATAAATTGTCCAACATTCGCTGTCATATAAATTGTCCAACATTCGCTGTCATATAAATTGTCCAACATTCGCTGTCATATAAATTGTCCAACATTCACTGTCATAAATTGTCCAACATTCACTGTCATATAAATTGTCCAACATTCACTGTCATATAAATTGTCCAACATTCACTGTCATATAAATTGTCCAACATTCACTGTCATATAAATTGTCCAACATTCACTGTCATATAAATTGTCCAACATTCACTGTCATATAAATTGTCCAACATTCACTGTCATATAAATTGTCCAACATTCACTGTCATATAAATTGTCCAACATTCACTGTCATATAAATTGTCCAACATTCACTGTCATATAAATTGTCCAACATTCACTGTCATATAAATTGTCCAACATTCACTGTCATATAAATTGTCCAACATTCACTGTCATATAAATTGTCCAACATTCACTGTCATATAAATTGTCCAACATTCACTGTCATATAAATTGTCCAACATTCACTGTCATATAAATTGTCCAACATTCACTGTCATATAAATTGTCCAACATTCACTGTCATATAAATTGTCCAACATTCACTGTCATATAAATTGTCCAACATTCACTGTCATATAAATTGTCCAACATTCACTGTCATATAAATTGTCCAAATATTCACTGTCATATAAATTGTCCAACATTCACTGTCATATAAATTGTCCAACATTCACTGTCATATAAATTGTCCAACATTCACTGTCTATAATTGTCCAACATTCACTGTCATATAAATTGTCCAACATTCACTGTCATATAAATTGTCCAATATTCACTGTCATATAAATTGTCCAACATTCACTGTCATATAAATTGTCCAACATTCACTGTCATATAAATTGTCCAACATTCACTGTCATATAAATTGTCCAACATTCACTGTCATATAAATTGTCCAACATTCACTGTCATATAAATTGTCCAACATTCACTGTCATATAAATTGTCCAACATTCACTGTCATATAAATTGTCCAACATTCACTGTCATATAAATTGTCCAACATTCACTGTCATATAAATTGTCCAACATTCACTGTCATATAAATTGTCCAACATTCACTGTCATATAAATTGTCCAACATTCACTGTCATATAAATTGTCCAACATTCACTGTCATATAAATTGTCCAACATTCACTGTCATATAAATTGTCCAACATTCACTGTCATATAAATTTGTCCAACATTCACTGTCATATAAATTGTCCAACATTCACTGTCATATAAATTGTCCAACATTCACTGTCATATGTCCAACATTCACTGTCATATAAATTATCCAACATTCACTGTCCATCATTCACTGTCATATAAATTGTCCAACATTCACTGTCATATAAATTGTCCAACATTCACTGTCATATAAATTGTCCAACATTCACTGTCATATAAATTGTCCAACATTCACTGTCATATAAATTGTCCAACATTCACTGTCATATAAATTGTCCAACATTCACTGTCATATAAATTGTCCAACATTCACTGTCATATAAATTGTCCAACATTCACTGTCATATAAATTGTCCATATAAAATTGTCCAACATTCACTGTCATATAAATTGTCCAAATTCACTGTCCAACATTCACTGTCATATAAATTGTCCAACATTCACTGTCATATAAATTGTCCAACATTCACTGTCATATAAATTGTCCAACATTCACTGTCATATAAATTGTCCAACATTCACTGTCATATAAATTGTCCAACATTCACTGTCATATAAATTGTCCAACATTCACTGTCAATAAATTGTCCAACATTCACTGTCATATAAATTGTCCAACATTCACTGTCATATAAATTGTCCAACATTCACTGTCATATAAATTGTCCAACATTCACTGTCATATAAATTGTCCAACATTCACTGTCATAAAATTGTCCAACATTCACTGTCATATAAATTGTCCAACATTCACTGTCATATAAATTGTCCAACATTCACTGTCATATAAATTGTCCAACATTCACTGTCATATAAATTGTCCAACATTCACTGTCATATAAATTGTCCAACATTCACTGTCATATAAATTGTCCAACATTCACTGTCATATAAATTGTCCAACATTCACTGTCATATAAATTGTCCAACATTCACTGTCATATAAATTGTCCAACATTCACTGTCATATAAATTGTCCAACATTCACTGTCATATAAATTGTCCAACATTCACTGTCATATAAATTGTCCAACATTCACTGTCATATAAATTGTCCAACATTCACTGTCATATAAATTGTCCAACATCCAACATTCACTGTCATATAAATTGTCCAACATTCACTGTCATATAAATTGTAAATTGTCCAACATTCACTGTCATATAAATTGTCCAACATTCACTGTCATATAAATTGTCCAACATTCACTGTCATATAAATTGTCCAACATTCACTGTCATATAAATTGTCCAACATTCACTGTCATATAAATTGTCCAAATTCACTGTCATATAAATTCAACATTCACTGTCATATAAATTGTCCAACATTCACTGTCATATAAATTGTCCAACATTCACTGTCATATAAATTGTCCAACATTCACTGTCATATAAATTGTCCAACATTCACTGTCATATAAATTGTCCAACATTCACTGTCATATAAATTGTCCAACATCACTGTCATATAAATTGTCCAACATTCACTGTCATATAAATTGTCCAACATTCACTGTCATAAAATTCCAACATTCACTGTCATATAAATTGTCCAACATTCACTGTCATATAAATTGTCCAACATTCACTGTCATATAAATTGTCCAACATTCACTTATCATTAAATTGTCCAACATTCACTGTCATATAAATTGTCCAACATTCACTGTCAAAATTGTCCAACATTCACTGTCATATAAATTGTCCAACATTCACTGTCATATAAATTGTCCAACATTCACTGTCATATAAATTGTCCAACATTCACTGTCATATAAATTGTCCAACATTCACTGTCATATAAATTGTCCAACATTCACTGTCATATAAATTGTCCAACATTCACTGTCATATAAATTGTCCAACATTCACTGTCATATAAATTGTCCAACATTCACTGTCATATAAATTGTCCAACATTCACTGTCAACATTCATAAAAATTGTCCAACATTCACTGTCATATAAATTGTCCAACATTCACTGTCATATAAATTGTCCAACATTCACTGTCATATAAATTGTCCAACATTCACTGTCATATAAATTGTCCAACATTCACTGTCATATAAATTGTCCAACATTCATGTCCAACATTCACTGTCATATAAATTCGTCCAACATTCACTGTCATATAAATTGTCCAACATTCACTGTCATATAAATTGTCCAACATTCACTGTCATATAAATTGTCCAACATTCACTGTCATATAAATTGTCCAACATTCACTGTCATATAAATTGTCCAACATTCACTGTCATATAAATTGTCCAACATTCACTGTCATATAAATTGTCCAACATTCACTGTCATATAAATTGTCCAACATTCACTGTCATATAAATTGTCCAACATTCACTGTCATATAAATTGTCCAACATTCACTGTCATATAAATTGTCCAACATTCACTGTCATATAAATTGTCCAACATTCACTGTCATATAAATTGTCCAACATTCACTGTCATATAAATTGTCCAACATTCACTGTCATATAAATTGTCCAACATTCACTGTCATATAAATTGTCCAACATTCACTGTCATATAAATTGTCCAACATTCACTGTCATATAAATTGTCCAACATTCACTGTCATATAAAATGACGGATATCTCATAGCTATCCAACATTCTTTTTTTTTTGGTTATAACGAAATTTTTTGTCGTCGACTTTTAGACATAAGGTCTCACATGGAGAAATGTCATCAAAAATTCACCCGAGATAAAGAACTTGATTTCAAAAGAAAGAAAAAAATATCTTTCCTCGAGTCTTATTTGTAGAATATCTGATTTGGAAATTCAAGTCATTTATGGCACAAAGAATTCTCAAACAGGAATCTGTTGTGTATTAATCGAACAGAACCTTGCTTTATAAATCCCAAATCGCGTGAGGGAAGACCCGGATTTTTCTTGCTTTTTGAATCTATTGATAACCTAAAGAGAAACAAATTTAAAACTACAGTAACACTCACCTTGTCAAATATTTAGAATCGTTTGGTTGTTGGCTTTTCGTAAATTTGCACGTATATGTCATCAGTTTAGAGAAATAAACCTTGATTTTCTTGTCTGTTTTTAATTGTTTCTTGCATCCGTCGCTTTTGCTGTTGGTAGCAGCACCTTTGACAGCGTCCGTATCTTGGAACACTGACCACGGAATGGTAGAGAAAAAGCCGTGGCTAATATTTGTAGTACTTCCACCAGGACTCATCTTTCTGGAAAGTTTTTGCTATTCCGTGATTCGCTGTAGATATCCTCGCCCAACAAGCCAACACTTCACTTTCTGAGTGCCGATCATCATTGAATTCTATCACGTGAATACAGTAACTACTGTTGAATTTTTTCTTCCTAATGGTAACAGAGTTCAAAAGTCAAGAGGCCATTTCCACACGAACAAACTGAAAGACGAATTAGAGAGCGTATACAAAAGCACTATGTCCCTTTGCACACAAAAAGATGACACACCGAAACAATGAGGCGAGACGGAAGGTTCGTGTAATTATATAAAATTTGAAGTGGAAATGAGATGGAGACACTAATTAGCGTATTATAACATATAAAATCTTGTTTATATTAATATCGTGGATTTTACAAATAATACACTAACAAGAGTTTTAATAAAAAAAAAAAGTTTATTTCTGGATAAATTATAACAGTTTTGGGTCCAGTAACACTTGCTGTGCAAGTATTTCTGAGAATGTTGAACAAACAAATATGTGCCTGAGCAGGCGTCTGCAACAGGGATTAGCTAGCCGGCCTGGTAGACAGGCATCCTCGGATATGAATGGCTGCGCCATTTAGGTTAGATTTCTGAGAATTTCATCATAACTTTAGTTTGAGTGCTAACTGTTTTTTGTTTATTTGTCTCTTTTATTACTCGGCATGTCATATTATTATTATTATTATTATTCAGATTTTTTTTCTTAATGTCCTGCTTGTTTACTGGTGGAGCTGAGTTTACCCCTTGGACTGCAGGTTACTATAAGTGTGTAATTTGTTTATATGATGGATAGAGTCCTCCTTACAGCGCCGAGATGGACAATTTTCTGGACTTCTTATACCTTGATGTTGCTGTGGATTTTGTTAGTGCATTTTTCTATCTCTTTCTTGACAAGATCAAGAGCACCCATTGCCACTAGGCATTGTGTTGATATTCATGTCCTACATTCTCTTATTTTCTATTTCTAGATCTTTATATATGGAGAATTTTTCTGTCGTTTTCAAGATGGAGGCAGACATGTCGATGAACAGACAAGTACTTTCCTTCTTGCCATTCACTTTAATACCAGGTCTGTGTGCCTTAATTTCTTCATCAGATTGAATGAATGACATATCTGTTAGGGGACCTTACCCATAATAACATAATGGACTATCCCATACGTAATAAATACTGCGCCTGAAGAGGAAGCAGAGAGTTCAGTCTGGAGTGAAGTCCGTCAGGGGTCAGTCAGTCGAGTCAGAGGCAGTCCGAAACAGAGTCGCGTTCAGACAATTACTACTAAACCTGATTGTTCGTATTAAAACTTTCTACTTCTCTGTATATATTCCTGTTTGTAATATATCTGTGTTATTCCATATCCGTGTTCGAGTTCTTCTTTATTGGTTCTACCTTGGACTATCACCGTGGTACAAGGAACCGGACCATAACAATGTCCCAGATAATAGTAACTTTATCCTTTTCTGTTAAAGTTTATGACTCATATTCATAGTATTTGTCTTTAAATTTGGGGATTATAGATTACCCAGTGGAGGTATCCGAATGTTTTGTTGTATCTTTGTATATGTTCTGTTTTGGCCAATTCTGAGCACGTAGTGAACAGATGTTTTATTGTTTCTTGGTTTTTGAATATCCTGCATATTGGGTTGATGTTGTTTTTCAAAATCTTCTTTCGGTAGTCGGTATTATTATTGTTGTTGTTATTGCTACGAAAAGTAAAAATAATTTCATGGTAATTCAACATTAATCCTTTGCACTAGGAAATGTTCCACGTAGAGCTTCCAATTAAAGCATCCTTTATTGGAAGCTTTAATTGGAAGCTTAACGACACACGTTTCATGATAATGAAAAAGCAATATAAACTGAACATCTAATCACCTGAAACACCCTAATACTATTGCAATTGCAAATGATGATGTATCAGTCATTAATATTTAGCACCCCAAAGAGGTTCGTTGCTTTGTTTTTCTGTCAATGAGGATTTGTTCACAGACCAAGGTCAACTGTATGAACATTTGATACATAAAAATAAAATGTCTTTAATCTATAAAATAACCTCAAGCCTTATAGTTAGAATTATTTAGTTAGAATTATTATTTATATATTCTAATTATTATTATTATTATTATCATTATTATTATTATTATTATTATTTCCTTTGCTTTTTGTTGTATACACATATCCTTCGGGTTGCAACCAGAGAACTAAGATCAGAAATAGCTTCTTGAGAGTTTCTACTGATCATTTTTATAAAAAAAATATTATTATTATTCAGTGCATTTTCCTATTACTATTAATTTCCGAGTGGGTATCGCAGGAGATTCACTGACAGCAAATTTCTTCAAATCTCCAGCACTTATCTCAGTATCCTCGCGGACGCTATCAACACTGTGTTATGGATAATCTCGTCTTCGAATTCTTAATTAATCTATTCTCGCCTCTTGCATTTTGTGCATTTTTTTCCATTTAATAGCAATGTATTAAACGACTTATATTCATAAAAATATTTGATGCAGCATTTGTACTGTTCGTATATACTTCATATCCATTAAGGGGATCACTCAATTGGCATATCAATAATTACATAGACGGAAAACAAAATGACTAATAATTTATGGGATAAGAGAAGTTGAAACAGTTTATATTAAGACATAATATTCTTAAAAGTTTGAACTGTAAAATGGTCACTTGAACGTTTTCAAATAAGTCTCGTTTGAATTTCACGATATATTTGACCTAAATATAAAAAGAATCGAAAAGATAAAAGAAGGACGAAGAATTTCTAATATTTTTATACAAATTTGGAAATTAATAAAATCTGAAACATTGTTCTCATCTTTGTTATAGTTGTTGTTATAAGTACAACATTTCGGCAACTGATCACGTTCAGGTGTCCATTATTTTGGTTAATCGGTGATATCATAAATGAATGAATTATTTTCTTATTTCTGCCCCTGTTCTTCGTTCTGTAGATTGACAGAGGGTACTTGACTGAAACGTATCTATAACAAGCAAAGCTGAGATCAATATTTTCATTAAATCCAATAAGTCAAAAATTATTCACAATTTTTAATCTCAAAAATCGAACAAAATTATCGAAAGCGACACAATCCTGTCTGGATAGCTAAAAGTCGAAACCTTATTGTATTTAAAAGAGTCAAAAGTGAGCCTTTGTCCTTCAGTGGTGTAATGGATATAGACAATGTTTTATCAATTATTGTGGTTGTGAGTTCAATATCTGAATCAGATAATGGATCCATATACTCTGGTTAAGTAATAACAACAGGGGTGTCTACAGGGCCAACAATAAATTCATAGAGTGAAGTTGTTGTTGGGCATTTCTACTGTGGTTTCTGTATCAAGTAGATTTTTACGAGGTGGAGTTGCTAACCCGACATACAGCCATTTTGAATCTTCCTCCTACTGGTACTCAGCCAAGTTTAGAAAGCCACGTCTGCTCTACTATTACACAGCCATTTTGAATTTAGACATCATTCCCCTAAACTGGTCCCCAACCAAGGTTAGAGAGTCTAATCTGCTCTGCTATTAGGTAGCCATTTCGAATTAAGACTGATCCTTGTTCTAAACTGGTCCTCAACCAAGTTTAGAGAGTCTACTCTGCTATTAGACAACCATTTTGAATTAAGACTTCTCCTTCTCCTAAAAGGGTCCCCAACCAAGGTCTGCTCTGTTATTAAGCTCTAGCTATAGGGGTTCATACCTTTCCAAGGGAATGTGTGTGAAAGCGAATGCAACGTATCTTTTGAAACAGTTCGTGTTGATAAACCACTACGCTACGAGTAGATTCATCCTAATATGAAGAAACTATATGAAAAGTTACACAGTAATAAATTCAATGATATAGTGTTTCTTTTCAAATTTGAAGTGATCATCTTATTTTCGATTGTTTACAGCAAGCTCGTTAAAATGATTCAATTGAGGAGATGTACTTAGAAATTCCCACATATAGTCTGCTTCATGACTGTTCTCAAGGTACTGTGTCTTTATATTTCATGACTCAAAGATGGCGAAACAATTATTAAATAAGTGGAGAAAATTAAACGGAAAATGCCTATTTACTGATGTCCGTTCATCATACATATAAGAACAAAGCCGCAAACTCTTTGTCATCATTCACAGAACAACGTTTATCATGAGCTTTTCACAATATTTTTTACTAATGTTCACCCAATACAAGGCCCAAGAGTGACTCAAGGTAGAGAGTTACTGTGTGAAATTGTATTAGCGTAATAAGGGGGAAGATAACAGGAAAGATCGACAACTAATTCTAGGTCAAGATTTAATTTTAGAGTTCAGACGGAGACATAAGTATAGAGTTAAAGTAGAATGAACTGGAAACCCAATCCTAAACAGGAAACAAAGGATGAACCTGTACTCCTTTTCAAAAACTGGGGAGGAGTGTGAACTGGACGATAGGCAAACCTATTTACTCCTATTTTATATGAAGTATTTTCCAAACCCTCAACAATACCATCAAACTTCTTGCTATAACTTACATACAGATTGGTGCAAACATAATTAACATTTTGTTTTGGTTTCCTTAAATGAAATGAAATGAATGTATTTGGTAATAAAATATATTTTGACAATATACTTGCATTTATTTTGTCTAAAGATTTTAAATCCTGTTCGTAAAATATCTGGATAAGCCTAACAGCAGATTTCAATATCTCTCTTTCCTAGTTCTCTTATGCACATAATCAGAAAGAGACAATTGAAAGTACTTGGACATATAATGAGGAAGGTAGGCTTCGAAAATTTGACACAGGATATATCAAGGGCAAGACGGGTAGGGTAAGGCAGCGGAAACCTTAATGATTAGCTTGTGGGTTGGATGGTGAAAAAGGGTGGGTAGGCAGGAGTTTTGGCAAAGATACAGATGTTACTAAGGATAGGAGCCATGATCTCTGAAAAGATACGGCAAGAAGAAGAAGAAGAAGAAGTTATAGCATGGTGTCATTTGATGTAATACT